AAAATGTTTATGTACGTCGCTACCCTGTTTTTGTTTTCAGCCTTTTAAATGCTGCCGTCTTCAATACGTACTAGAGAAGCTTCAGAATGCAGTTCTCGTATAATCGAAGTTTGGTGCTGTTGCTAGCATCTTCTTTCTTCTGGTTTGAATAACGTTGCAAATGCCAACGGATAGCACCTGTTAACTGCATTTGCAAATGTACTCCCAGAACACAGATGTTCTTCCGCTTTTCCACAACTTCGGCTCAAGGACCAGTCTTTTGTTTGTGTTCTACTAATTCCTATCCACATTGTCTTGTTTAAGTTATTCGAGTAACCCAGATCAGAACACCTTTGTTCCAAATTTAGTAACTGTTTAGTTGTCTGTTAGCAGAAGCTTTGCGAAAAGCAAGAAGATTTACGCTGATGTTGCTCACTTTTGCCGCCGTACGACTAGAGTACTCTTTCGTACTGACTGGAGCACCCAGTCAAGAAACAACGCGAAGAGCAGTTTAGATTCCACTCATTTCCAAACTTTGTACCAAAGAGTTGCTGAATTTGTCAATTCGCACTACACTTGACAGAAGATTGTACATCTTTTTAATGCAAATGGTCTTTAATGGGATTTCGTGAAGCTCATAAGGCATTCTTCCCATAAGGCATTTTTACAGACTGTAGCGTTTTGGTGAGCGATGAATATTGGAAAGAATTTGTATCGTCATTCCTCTTCTTTCCATTAGCTGTCTCATTGTGAATATATGGTTCAAACATCCTCTGCTTGCCTTGAATCCATATTAATCATAACCGAAAATCTCATACGTTTAATCCTGTTCACCATAACACGCATGAACACTTAGCAGGAATTGATAGTAGACTGATTTCACGGTAGTTTTTTGGATCTGAGTAACAGCATTTCTGGAAAATTCAAACAAAATATCATTCGTCCAACCATTCCTAATTTCCTCTCTCTGCATTACCATTCTAAAGAGATTCACTAGCGCCAGCATTCCGTTCATCAGATTCCTTGTTTTATTTTTATTAAATTTTAACAATTCCTACAGCTCTGCCATCTTTCATTTGGCGGTCAAGAGTCAGCATCCATTTTTTGACCATTCAGTGAATCTTGTTTCATAATAACATCAGGGTTTTGAAGCGATTCAAAGTATTTTCCCCATATAATAACTTCTGTAGGCTCAGATGTGATATTACCTTTCGTAATAACTGTTATTCTAGGCTTCTGGATTTTTGTCCTTGTAGCGATAGACTTTCCTAAATAATGTTTTCGTATCATTTTTCTGAGTGGCGTCTTCCTTTATTTCATCCTGTCTCTTCTAGAAAAGGGTTCTGTCCTTAATGATTTTTTAATTCTTTTCTGTACTTCACTTCTGAAATTTTGTCTGTTCCCATTCTTGGCAAGCCTGCTCTTTTCCTGCAAATGTTTACTTTCCAGTGTTGCTACTGCTTTTTCGTATATGCTTCACGCTTTTTCAGCTGATATATTCCACTGTATAATCGGTAAAAGGTTTGAATCTTCTATCGCCCGTGATTGAGATATGTCTGGAAATGTAGGCTTGTCGACCTCAAACTTTGCAATAGATCTTTGACTGCTAGCCGAGGGTCGATCTCATGGTCGTTCCGCATTCGGCATCTTCTGGACGTATTCGATAGCTTCTGATGATGAAAACGTCCTTTTGATTTCCCGCTAATGCACCAGGGAGTGCCGAGTGGTTTAATCAACTGATTTGTGACGAAACCATGTGTCGCCAACTAATGAATCGTGCATTCACATAGTCGTTTACCATTATCATACTTCTGGCCAAGATGCCGTGTGATCCCAAGCATCTATGCAGCTCATTATTTATAGCTACTTTCGCATTGAAAGCTTCGAGCTTGGTCCGAAACGTCGGATGTCACTAATTAAAGAACAAGTTCGGTCTGTCTTCGGAGTACACTGACAAGGCACTTAATGTTTTCATTCGGATCTGACTGACTCGCGTGATTGATGGCCTGTGTTTGCTTTCTAGTCTTAATGTCAGATTAGAAACGTCAGATGTCCCTAATTAAAGAACATTTTATGCGTTGTCTTCCCGTTTGTGACTTACCTAAAGATTATGTCACCTCCACCTCCCGCATAAAGAGATCATGTACATGAAATTCAAGGTAGGCTAGTGGTGATGAAGTTTCTTGAATGTCGTCAATCCGCAGTAGTCGATAGTTTCAGAGCCAGATGGCAAACTTTCGGTTCGTACTGCTGATTGAATCGTTTTTGGGAGACGAGCAACATGGCTAATCTACTCCACCCAGAGTTCATATTCTTTGTCACGGTTGACGTTTCCGCAGGATTAGAGGAGTAATGTTTCCTTTATCCGCCTGTCGCCGCTACACTCAGACCATTGGGGAGGTGTCCTTGCTTCTCCGCATACTCCACAATCCCGGAGGTCTTCTCGTATTATTCCTTGACATTATTAGGAGTGAGGCTTTGTTTATTTGCTTTATTATGCTCGTTCGCAATCATCCAACTTCTCTAGTTTCACATCCGTGTTTTAGTTCTCTGCGTGACAGTGTTTCCTGTTTCTCCTATGTAATGTTTCAGACAGTTACACTGTAATTTCTAAAACCAACTTGCAGAACTATTATTCTCAGAATTATTTGATAACGCATTGGGTGTATTAGGGCTGTTATATATAAAATTAGTATTGAATTTATTGTTAAGTAATCTTTGAGTTTTCACTAAAGTTTTTATGATACGGTAGAACTGAATAAGGTATATTATTTAGTATCATTTTTGGACCTTATTAGTGCTACAAATAGTAGTAATGTTTTACTGTTATTAGTGTCACATTTGACAGTTATTACGTTATTGACGATTCTAGCTAGATAATTATTGTTATTGCATAAGGTTAATTTCGTATACTTTGTTTCCTCTTTCAGAAATGCATTACTACCGAGCATGGGGCTCTGTTTGCTTAAGCTGTAACTGCAGAACTTTATTGCTTAAATGATTTAAAGTTTAGATATTTGTCAGTGTTAGTAGGTTTATGATAACCTGTACTTATATGGCAGTTACCAGAGTTGATTATTAAGGCATCAAGAAATGATAAACTGGAGTTATTTCCTTTTTTAATCGTTAATTGGATATTTTAAGGGAATGGGCTACTTAGGAGGTCTAGTAACTAATTTTCGTTCCCAGTCGAGCAAAGTTGGACAGGAAATGATGTCTAAAAACGCATCGTTTGAAAACCTTTGAAAAAAGGCCTGGGTACGTGTCTCGAGCCACATTTTAAAATGCTTCATGAAAATGTCGGCAATGATGGGGGAAAGTGGGTTACCCGTGGGTACTCAGTTGGTTTGTTTAATGCAACAACCATGAAAAAAATAATTCGCTTCTACGCTGCGGAAAATTATTAGTTTTACGATAAAATTAGCAGAGAGGTTAGTACCTTGTTTATGTGAGTTATCTCTTTGAAGTAGTTTACTAATTGTTTCAGTATTTTAGTGTTAGTTTGTATTTAACGTCGCAGCTTCCCATAATGCTACCTTTAGAGCGGTTAATTTGTTTCAGTTCTTTGTAAAACTCGTGGGGATTACTGATGTGAGCTGGGTTACTTCCAGTTAAGGGTCCGAATATTTTAGCTGTTAGTTTCGAAGCCTTTTTGAAAATCAGTTCACAGTAGAGACAGTAAGTCTGAAGGGCGTTATGTTAATGTATTTTAGGTAAGAGGTAAAAGTGCGGTGCTGGACAGTTACATTGAATTTCAGAGGTGTCTCTATAAAGGTAAAGGTCTTTGCATCTAGGTGGTCATGTTGGATATTGTAAAAGTACTCGAAATTTGTGGACAAGAAAAGAGGTTGGGTTGGTTTCCAGTAGGGAAATCATGAGGTGTTGCGCAATTCGTGACATTTGTTATATATT